GCCTAGTTAGTGGATACAAAATAAAAGCCAATAAAGGTGCCTAAGCTACAAAATCAAAAGAAAAATGTTCATGTATCAAGGCTCAGAATGTGCCACGCGATTGGAAAAACACAATGGAGGATGAACTTGAGGTATCATCAGAGCTTTATAAATAGAAGACAAAATCTTGCACAGAGTCCCCAATTTCAAGCAAACTTAACCAGGTCTCATTGCCACATAACAAGAACTGAGAAAAATCAATACCAGATCTAAAGTTCACCATGAACAATGGAAACCCCTCATACCTTCTTGAAAAAATCAACCCCAGTATACACTGATCCTGAAAAGGAACAGCAGCAAAAGTTTAAAATAGGCAGAAGGTTATTAAGCACCAGCATTTAATTTCTTGCCATTAAAAGCAGTCCACACAAGCAGATGCACACACCCAGAGGCAAATACAGGCAGATGAAATGGAGGAGAGAAACTCACTGCTTGAAAATGCACTATCATGAATCTGAAATTCATGCGATTTACAAAGTAACTTCCTTAAATCAGTTAACATTTTAGCATAAATAGTTACCTGCTTAAATAGTTCAGATAACAGACTAAATACCTGTTGGCTGTTTCAAGCAATATTTTAAAATTTAAGGACGATTGGCTGTAATCCCTGTTCAAAGGACAGATCATTATTTAACCTATGAGACAGAACGTTCCAGACAAATAAGGTTATCATAATAAAAGACAAAGCCGTGCCTTGAAATATCTCAATCTCGGATTAGAGTATGCAGCCCTCTTATCTGAACCACAAGTCTCATATATCACACAAAATTGAAACAGCGAACTTTTAGGAACAGTCAACAGAATTGTGGCCAAACCCCTGATTTACCCCCCTCCCCGAAACATTTTTTATTTCTGCAGTGAACACCTTAGTAATTTTGCCTCTAGATAACACCCTCCATAATTCATAAACCACAAAAAACCCAAAAGTGTAACAACATGCCACGTGCATGTCATGTGCACGTTAATTTCCATCAGCTATTGTATTGCGTGGCACAAGCAAGTTGACTGGTACATTACATGGCCATTTTTCCTGATGTGGCTGACACATGTGCATGGGCCCCACCACTGGCAGGAATTTCCCCAACCGTCCCCATATCTGCAGCCAAAAAAAAAAAAAAAACCATTGCTGCCTGGATGCAAAAAGGATATGTAGGGCTTACCGCCTGGATGCATAAAGGATATGTA